GGTCACCAGGCAATATTATCGTTTATCGCAATAAATTTTGAGACAATTAATCGCCCAGCAAAATTTGTTATCGTGACAGGCCTACGGTGAAGCCACATCATACTTACCTTAACTTTAATAATTACTGCCTTTTTTCTTTTCTCTGTGGGTGGGGGGTCAGCTTCACTCAGCTGCAGGTGAACACCTCCCGCGTTTCCTGGACTATTTTCCACTGAGGATTACGTCGTATTTTATATTTATTATATTTCTAAAAGCACTTCACAGCATTTCCCCCTGTGTGTTCATGTTATGAGCGCGACGGATCAGCTGACAGTTCTTAAAGCGAGGTGCACCGAACATGTCCACCTGCAGCTCGGCTCCGACCAGCCCGGGAGTTCATACATGTCAACCCCTTCAGATGTTTACGTGTTTAAAGAGCATCAAATATCTGTAATTTGCGCAAGGAATCAGTATTAATCACGCGGGGGGCACTGACCGACCGCATCTGTGCTGGGTGGGGAGGGAGGGAGGAGGGTCTCTTAAAGACGTGTCTACATTTGACTTTTATTTTTTTCTAAAATCACAGAGTTCTCTGAGTCAGCTTCAGATGTTTGTAGTTAATCATAATATGTTCTAAATTTAACCAGGTGTTTCATTGCCTTTAAATTACACAATCATTTTACTGGAGAAACTTGTCAGTTTGGTTAAAAAAACAGTAAAAATAAATCTTTTTTTTCTGTGCAGAGAACTTCCTCTGCTATAATTTATTTTAAATAAACATATCAAAGCTCCTCAGTTGAAAACACTAAAATTATAGAAAAGATGTTTAAAAACTTCTTTCCTCATAAAGTCTCGGTCCTAAGAACACTAAACTGTAACTTTTAATAAGTACAAAGTTTACTCCTATTTAAATAAAAATGTTTGACCTGTAAGCAGAAAGCTTATGGATGCTGGATTTTGGTTTTTGATCTCTCTTTCAAAGAGGAGGAGGAGAACGAGGAAGTTCTCCTCAAGCAGCTCCTAAAACTGTCAACCTGCTGACTGACATTTGTATATATTACACTTTGTATACAGAACAATATAGCCTACTTATTAAATTACATTTTTGTTGAGATATTTTTTGGGCAACCAAAATGTTTTGAGGACAATCAGATTTTGTCAAACCCCAACATGAGAGGTCACCACCACTGTTAAAAAAAATCCTGGGAGAAACTCTGCTGAGTTAAAGTTCTTCTAGAGTTCCTAGAGTTCTAATGATTATTAGAAAGGACATGATTTGAGGTTTTTACTGATAATATTTTATTTAAAACATGTTACAGAAGTCATAAGAAGCAGGTTTATTTTGAACAAACATTACAAACTTGTTCATTCCTACAAAACTGTCAAATATACAGGTGCTGGTCATAAAATTAGAATATCATGAAAAAGTAGATTTATTTCAGTAATTCCATTTAC